GCAGTCATGACAGAGCATGCGCTGTTACGCAAAAACCGCGATAGAGTGAAGCCGCGGAAGTCGAAGCGCGAAGTGGCGAGGGTTCACTGTACTTCGATTTTTTACTACGGATTGGGTGGAGGTTTGCAGAGCAGACCACCAGTTTAACAGTCAACAATTGGCATCCATTCTGTGCAACTCATCCATTGCAAGCCCCTCAGTGAGCCATCCCCTATCCCACTTCCGCCCCGTGCTTCCGGTTGCCACTCTGCCTTCTTTCTTAATGCTCTGAACTTCGTCCCCGAGTAAATGCTGCCCTTTTGATCTTCAATGGTTGATTATTCTAGCATGGGGGTGAGTTCCATTCCAGACATACATTTCTTGTGCATTTCTTACTTGAAGAGCATTATTATGATTTTCTCCCCATTTTTCTTAATCTGATTGCCTACCAGACTTATCATTCTGGAATAACTGCTTGCAAACAGATTCCTTAAGGGAGGAGGAAATCTGAGTCTAGAAAGTAGCTGGGATGAGGTGGTCTTTTAGCTGGCTTGACTTATGAATGACGCTATTGATCTCAGAATGGAATTTCCAAAGCAGTGACTTTTATCAAATAAATTTTTTTCCCTAAATGATACCCTGCTGAAAGAAGTATAAGGGAGAGAAAGGAAAGAAAACATAGAGCACATATTTGAACAGTGACTTTAATGGTCTTCATTTATCCCTGTAAGTCAACAAATCATTTTCCCACAGGCCAGACGCTTGCAGTAGAAATTGGACTCATTCTGCTCATTTTGGAGATGGTTACAAGCACTAGGACTGGTGCCATGTTATGCATTTGGAAGAATGATTGCATTATAAGGTCCATTCCAAGCTTCCCACTGTTCCAACAATGGAAAGAGTGAAGAATGTTTAGACTGATTTAAAATGTGAAGATGCAATTCCAATATCATCCAATCCTTCTACCACTCAGGCACTCCCCCCAATAGATCTCAGTGACCAGCCTAATTAAGTTCTGATGTTAGGTAAGAAAGAAAGTACCATTTCTTCTAATAGTAATGCTTATAGAACAGTGTGGTGCTTAAAATAAAGCAATATTGAAATTCCAGACTTAATGCCCAGTAGAAAATCACCAATTTCTAGAAGGTAGGCTTTGGGACTTCTTTTTTCAAATGTATGGCTGGTAAGATATCCTGAATAACCCTCCCGACTACAAACTAGAATACTAGGTTAAGGGCCGAAAAAAATCCTCTTCACTACTGTAAATACATTATTGAGTTGGAACCAAATGAAGACGTGCAGAATCCCAAACGGAGTGAAAACAGGAATCCTGGGGGGTAAGCTAATATCAAATCCCACTTATGCCATGATGGTGTGGCCAAACCCTCGTGATATTGAGTTTCTCCTTTGATAACTACATAGAGTTCAGACAGCAGAAGATGAAGCTCAGGCTCTGCCCAAGGAGGGGTCTTACAGAAGATGAACTAAGCGTATAGAACCATAAAGTGTATGGTCTTAAGGTAAGAATGAATGAGAAGTCCACTTTGAAATTCAAAACGAGTCAGAAAGGAACCTTGCCTGCCCAGTAAAAAGAAATTCTCTTTCTGACCCTGAGAATCTGAAGCCACTGCCGGCCGTCTAAAGTCACACTGCCAGGTTGATGCAGAAGAAATCAAGCTGAAAACTTGACTTAATGTGGTTCTAAGGGTAGTGACTAAGGAGCACTTGTAGTCTAGTGGTTATGAGCTGAGTCCCTGAGTGCAAGGTCCGAATTTGGAAACCACCAGCCGCTCCATGGGAGAGAGATGAGATGTTCTACCCCCATGAAGAGTGACAGTCTCAGAAACCCACAGGAGCACTCCTACCCTGTCCTTTATGGTCGCTATGAGTCAGCATGCACTCGATGGCAATGCGTTTGGTTCATGGAAGGTGGTGGCTGTCAGAAGCAAGTACAGCTCCTCTCTGGAGGACCCCAGTTTCAACTCGGGCCTAAAAGATTCCCACACCAAACTCACAAAACCCTTAAGGAAAAAAGATATTATGAGTGAAACTCAGCAGAAACCATAGGAAACAGACATGAACCCCGCAATACTTTGGATGTTGAAATTATCAGATACGAAATTGCTGGTTTAATAGGTCTGAAGTAAATATGGGGTAAATATAAGACTGAGTAGTGAAAGGAGACTCTTGGGGGTGTAAATGATGAAGCAACTGGCTGTTAACTGCAAGGTTGGCATCTGGAACTCACCCAGGGGCAGTTCAGAAGAAAGCCCTTGTGATCTACTCCTGAAAACAATACAGAGCCCAGATCTCCTCTGCATACATTGGGCTTCCAGAAGTAGGGATCAACTCAATAGGTTAGGGTTTTGTTTCTTTTTGCCTGGGTGCTACCAGGGGTTAGCACACTCAGATGCTAACCAAAAGGTTGGCGGTTCAGGTCTACCCAGTGGTAGACCTAGCTTAACCCAAACCCGGCACTCCACTCCCAAAGAATCAGCCATTGAAAACTCTATGGAGCACAGTTCTACATACAGGGAATCAATGGGACTTGGAATTAGCTCAAGGGGAATTGGTTTTTAAAGTGATTATGCTAATTGGAATTTAAAGCTTAATGGCTTGGCTTAATAGTAGATTAGATATAGCTGATGAGTGGGGAAAAGGTGTATGGAAGATAAACCCTAAGGATTAAGAGAAGAGGGGATGAGAAATGTGAAAGAGGAGCTAAGAAGGAGGATAAAGTGAGAAGATTTAGGACATTCCTGTTTTGAATTCCAGAATGAGATAATAAAGAAACTGTGGAAGCTGTGCTATTCAGAGAGACTTTCCCACAGTTGTTGAAATACATTTTTTTTTAAAATTTCACAGTAAAACTAAAGAAAAAAAATTAAAGGACCCTAAATTCAGCCAATATGAAATGCCAGATGATAGAAAAGAAGTACACTTAGACTGGCGGGTGATTTCTAAACAGTAATAACTTGAGTCCAGAGGATTATAAAACATTGATGAATGTGCTGAGAGAAACATAACAGGCAACCTAGACTTCTGAACTCAGTACAACTATTTGTAAAGAATGAAGGTGAAATGAAGACATTTCCAGGCAAATAAAAACTGGAGGCATGTATAACTGAGAGAGCTTCCCTATAGGAAATTATACATGGATTGTACTTTAGGCAGGGGAAAAAAATCAATACAGACAGGAGTTTTGAGGTGCAAGAAGAAATGCTGTAAAAGTACTGGTAAGTATATGAATAAATAACCTTTTAATGTATAAATCAATAATTATAAGGAAAAATCTATGAGGGAACTAAGTGAGAACAATGGAATGGATGTGGCTGTTTGTTGCTTTCACATCCATTCCAACCCCTGGCGCCCCTGTACGACACAGGGGAACTGCCCCATCGGGTTTTCTTGGCTGCAATCTTCATGGAAGCAGATCACAAAGTCTTTCTACTGGGGAGTGGCTGGGGAGTTCAAACCACCAACCCTGCAGTTAGCAGCCACGTGATTAATCATTAAGTCACCCATGCTCCTATGATACTGGAAACCAGTAGCTTTTATACCGGGGGTGATCTGGGTTAAAGTGTGCCCATGGTTCTTGTATAAGTTAGGAAGATAGTGAAGACAGTCATTAATTTCAGGCTATGCTATGTGAATTAACTTCTATAAAAATAGAAGTCAAATGTATAAATTCCAAACAAGTCATAAGGGAAAAAATAGAATGAAGTAAATATATGTATGTTTGTGCACATATATATGTATTGCAATCACCAAGGTAGGGGCAGACTAAGAATGAAGATAAATAAAGCATGTTATGTTGCTGGGTGCTGTCTAGTTGGTTCTGCCTCAGAACAGAACAAAAGCACTGCGTGATCCTGCATCATCCTGACAGCTGTTACGTTTGAGCCCATTGTTGCAGCCACTGTGTCAGTCCATCTCATTGAAGGTCTCCCTCTTTCACATTGGTCCTCTACGTGACCAAGCAGGATGCCCTTTTTCCAGGAACTGTCTTCTCCTGATAACAAGTCCAAAGTCCAGGAGACAAGTGTAGTCA